GATAAATTGGCATAATTTATTAATTACCTGGGGATTGTATGCGGACATGGGTGCAATCGATGGCTCCTATTGTACGAGGAAATCTGGCAATGTTGTAAAATGCCAATTGATGATTTCTTATTTCCTCTTCAGTATTAGGCATACGAATGTAGTTTTCAGATAAAGTACAAATAGCAGCTGTAACTTTTTTTACAATCCGGCAAGCCGTGGATTTGTGGACCCCACTAAAATCTCCAACAGCTATGAGCATATTCCCTGTAGCATACAGGCGTAATGTTAATAACAGCTGGTTCATAGGTGTAATCGCCTTATTCCTATTGGAAATACACACAGAAATATTGTAAACAGTGATTAATTTGAAGTTTGCACTTACCTATTACTTATAGTTGCCAACTGGCCCTCGATTAATTCTAATAAAAAAAGAACAGATTCCTTTTGCAAACGAAATCTCATCGTAAATTCCTGGTCAGACCACTTTGTAAAATTATCTGGTCTTTCTCGAAATGTACGTTCGCGCCTGACTCTACGATTTAGCTCTAAAAGTAATTCTTCATCTGAATCTGTAGAGCTAGAGCTGCTACTACTATTCATAACTTCATATTGATCAGAATCTGATGATGCATCCATAATAAACAGAAACTTAATTCCAATTATCAACAAAATATGAAAGATGAAACTCAATAAAATACACGCGATGTAGGTACTCGGGAAAAAATCATAACCTATAAATTGAAATTCGAACTGGCGGTTGACTAGACTGGCGGCGAGCGCCAAGGATTCCACTTTGGCTTTCACATTGCGCGCATGCGTACATACATTATTTTGCTTACAATTTCAACAGTTACCTTAACCCTAGCCTAATAGTTTTCCGTATTTGTGTTTTGTACGATTTGGGTTTTTATTATATTTAAAAATGAACAGTACTAATATTTGCAAACTTTGCAACAAATTATTTGGCGAACGCTATAACTTGAGAGCGCATATAAAAAAATTTCATCCAGGTAAGAAACACCATTTCTTATCTATTCGAAACATAAGAAAACATGTAAAACGTTGTGGTAATAGTTTACTATCCGTGCTGGTATCATTTCAAATTCGGCAACAAGACCCGCACACGCACATGTCAAGTACCATACAAGAAGATTCAGGGAAACGACCAGCCCTCCGTTAACATCGGTTACGAAATGGACACATAACCACCGCCGACTCTACGTAACCAACCGCTCATCAAAAGTAGTTTTTAATATAGGTACACCGGCGCTGAAGTCTGCACATTCCCAAGGAGGTAAACAGCCTACAAAGAGCTCAACACTTCTACAGCACTTTGAAACGAGGTACCGAGGTGTACAAAAGGATGTGCATCAGCGTAAAAATCTAATCTGCTCCAACTTTTATATACTACCGCTGCATCATAGAGTAGATCAACCGCCGCTCCTCTACAAATGCTCAAGGTTTACCGCTGTCAACAGCGTAGATCTAAACACTTTTACAACTCCGGAGAGGGAGAAGAAACATCAAAGTAACGTGCTAAAGAACTTTCCCGCTGGAACAGCAAGTATTACCTTTGTCATGGACTCCAAAACCTGTTCATAGAAAACAAATCCCCTGGAAGCTGGTTTAGTGACCCATGTTGCAGTGCCCTAAGGAGTCTCTGCCAGGTCCGCTTACCGGATCCTCGATGCTTCCCCCTTTGTTCATTATTCCGTCGTTTATCGCTACCAAAATGTTTCAATCCTTGTTGATGTTAGAGTCAAGTTGTTCAATGTTACAATTTTTGCTGTGTTCAAATACCAAATAAAAACTGTAAAGGTTTTGTATAATATAAAAAAAACATCTATACAGGTATAATTAGCACATAAGTAAAATTTTTAGACGTGATGATAATCCATCATTATTATAGAGTCGCTATTAGCTTCAGCTATTTGCGATACGACCGATGTCTGAGCCTTAGGGCAACTCGAGGGGCAACTACTTTTCCTTCTGCACACTCTCTTCTTCCTTCTCGAACAACGTCGTCTGCAACTCCTTCTTTTCCTTTTACAAGTACGCCTCTTTACTTTACGTTTGCACGTGCGCCGTCTTTTCTGCAGCTTACATCTGAGCTTCCTTCGCCCAGGTTTACACTTAGTTCGAAAGGGCTTAGCAGCCCTTCCGGCCTGTGCTGCTCTGCACTGGTACTTTCTTCTGCGAAATTCACTCATGTTGCACCACCGGCGAGCTCCTTCGAGCGTCAGCTTGCATGAAAGCCACGTGGGGTATTTCTTACGCAGCTCTTGTAAGAAATTTAAAAAGGGATTTTTCGAAAAGCGGGAGTTTTTTCGTCTTTTGCAGATTACGTTTGTGCCCTTCTCTCTACGTCTACGTCTTCTACATGCCATAATTTCGGAATAAAATTCTCTGAAAGGTCAAACTAAAATTTTGAAGTTAACAAAACAATCTTGTTTGATACGTTAGTAACGCCCAGACGACTACGTAGTTTCACAAATTTCCTATGCAACTAACAAAGTTTGTCTATGGTTACCACTTTATTTTCCAAGGAGACGTAAAATGGTCGGCGAAATACTGACATTCATCACGTCGATCTTTCAGAGAAATGTACAAAAATTCGAAAAGTGAAATATCACGTCCAAATTGGTGTTCGCAGTTCATAGCTTTTCAAGCAAGGTACGGCCATTTTCTGTTGCTGAAACGCTCATAGTTCTTACACTTTTTATTTCTCTTTTGGAATTACAGATATGTAATTCGGAAAATGTTTTGTCGAATGTTAAATTACAACAGAGAAAATTTTGAAGTTAAAACTGACATATAAGTGTGTTGCTTGGCAACTTTGGCAAATGACATTTGTTAAATGATTGCCATGAGTGAAGTTGTCAGAAAGCGTTAAATTTGAACTAAACCAGAAGAACATTTAGCCAACAATAATTGGTGCCGAATAATATTCAACAAGACTATTTCGCGAAACCAAATAACTAAAATGACATTGCTCATTTTACAAAGTAAGGTAACTGTTATTTGTGGATATGCTACAGGTAAGAGCTTTGCCATTTAAAAGACAGCCGTTACTATGTAATTTTGCCACTAGTTTAAGATCTGGCAATGAATGTCGTTTTTGCGATCCGTATGAAGACGTTAATAAGTTTTTCAACTTTATTGTATACAGCCATCACGACAAGTAATCTTCAATAAGAAGAGTAGCGCCCAATTTACAGTTGCCACCATTGGTTTCATCAAGCCGTAAAGCAAAATAGAACCAATGTGCTCAGCTACAACTTTTTAGCCATATCTACCATTTTTACAAAGATTTCGCATTTAAGGCCACGGAAAGAGAGTTTTAAACATTTTCCTATTTCAACTGCTCCGCACAGGGAAGAATATCCACCTACACATACCTATTTCCGACTCTTATGAAGGCAAATTATTATGAGCATTGGTTATTGCTTTTTTTTCCTTTTTAAGCATGGCCGAAGAACTGTGGATGCTATCTCATGCATCTCCCCTTTCTTGGAGAACATATTAATAACATGGTTTCGAGAAATAAAACTTAATGGCAGAACGCAAACCAGATCCACGAGGGCGGCCGTGTGCTGCTGGGCTGAATCAACTCTTAAGATTTAATAATAAAATAATATGCATTGTTGGGTGAAGGGGGGTCGTACTAAGATACATTTTTGGACATGAACCTATATTTTTGGAACTGATAAACCAGATTCGATAGCATTAAAGTCTTTATGTCAATAATATGCGCGTGAATCGGGATGTAGAAACACAAGGAGACACTGTTACTGAAATCATCGATGAAGGATCTATTCGACACCTGAATATCTACCAACTTTTGTGCAGAGTATTGTGTCAAGACCGAAAACTGGTCGACTTCGGGGAAGACCTCTTGGGTCACCTTACGTCTTTAAAAAGTGCAATATATCAATAAGTATTATGTGCTTTCTAACAAATGCCAAGTCCCTGTCAAAGACCATCTCAGAAATAGGTATCTCACTTTCGAATGTTAGCAAAGACCTCTTTGTTCTGAGAACTCTTGGCACAATATATCTGCCCAAAGAATGGAAAGAGGGCATTCTATGGTAGACGGGTTCTTCAATTCTAAGCGTTACACACGGACCTCAATCAAATGGGCCCTTGAAGAACAAAGTGTTATTCTCTACTAGTGGCTCCATGAGTATTAAGCAGTCCTATTAAAAGATTCTTGTAGTCAAAGTCGTAAAAAATTCAATGGCGAGTTCAAAGAATGCTCAAATTTGAAAATTTGACCATTTTAACCATACTTATATGATAAATTCCAAAAACATTTTGGAATGTCCTAATAAATGTTAAAACTTTCTCGGCCTCTTTGATGTGGTTGGACATCATCTTGCCCAACCTCATCATCTTCTGGATTGTCTTCCATCTCCCCCCCATCAATTCCTTACTGAGTCCCTCCTCTTCTTTCTCCAATGGATGAGGGGTGCTGGTGAATACTTCTTCCTCAAATGGAGCGTTGGGGGTCGTCTGGGATTTACAATTCCCGCAGATTGTCGGACATTTAAGTCCTGCTTTTCGACAACTACGGAGAAAATTCCCAAAGTTAGCATTTTTCTAAATTCTACCCACTATAGGCACATTTCCCATTTTCACGGAATATAAGGGTCCTCACATATTAGATATGCATGTGGCCAAAGTTTTCAATAGTTTACTCCAAAGTTAAAAAATAACACATACGTATCTACTGTGTTTTGGAGTACCTTGTATAGGTTTAAGTTAGTTAGAGTTAAGTTAGCAACAATGTTGAGAACTAGTGGTTAGACACACAATGGAAGTAGCGTTTTGTAGAAGCAAATAAACCGAGTCTAAAACGAAGTATTATTCTTTACCTAACAAATACCACGTAAAGAAACATGGCGCAGTCGGTACATCACTAGCAAGGGGTCTGTATTAAATAAGATTACGAAGAAGAAGACGTCAATTTCAGGAATTTCAATTGCAAGCGTTAAGGCATAAATTACAAAATGGGTGATGGCGACAGGAGAGGCGTGGCACCATTAAAAATTACGGGAAATACAGCAGAAAATTGGATCATATGGAGGGCACGATTCGAAAATTACCTAATTGCAGCCGAAATTAATAAAAAGGACGAAAAAACACAGTGTGCACAACTTCTACACTATATAGGTGAAGATGGGTTCAAAATTTATACAACGTTCCAATTTGCCGACAACGAGAAAGACAAAATCAAGGTATTACTGGAGAAATTTCAATCACACTTCGAAGGGAAGCAAAATATTTCGTACGAGAGATACAAATTCTTTTCGTTGAAGCAGCTGGAAGGACAGACAACAGAAAATTTCGTAACGGAGTTGAAGACGCAGGCCGGGAAATGTAAATTAGATCAACTACAGGACAGTCTAACTGTTACCATGATTATATGCGGGATTAGAAACGTCCATGTTCGAGAAAAGCTACTCCAGGAGGATAATCTTGAATTAGACAAGGCGGTGGAGCTGTGTCGAGTTATCGAATCATCTAAACTACGTAGCGAAATTATGGGAAGTTCAGTCGGGGCAGGAGCTGCAACAGCAGAAATAAATGAAGTAAACCGAAGCAGAGTGAAGGACAGGTATGTGCCAAAAACAATAAATGACTGTAATAAATGTGGGCAGTCACATCAAATTAACAAATGCATGGCTTTTGGGAAAAAATGTCATTTCTGTAAAATAGCAAACCATTTTGAATCTGTGTGTTACAAAAATAAAAATGCAAATAAGAAAACTAGGCAAATGCAGAGTGTAGATAGTATTAAGAGCACGATTGAGAGTAATGAAAATGAACAAACTTGTAAATATTTATTTGTGGGCAGTGTAAGCAATACTAACAATAGGAAATTAGAATGGGTAACTAAATTAGAACTAAAAGGATATGTGGTAGAATTCAAAATAGATACAGGAGCAATGGCAAATATTATACCCATAGGAATGTTAGAGTATATAAAAGTCCCTAAAGAAAAAATTGTTAAAACTAATATTCAATTACAATCACTCAGGTATTCAAAAATGCTTAAAGATAGCTTCAGAGTCAATATTTTGGCCTACCATGAATAATGACATAAAGCAAACGATAATAAACTGTGAAATTTGTATGAAATATTCCAACTCACAAATAAAAGAACCATTGCAGAGTCACGAAATTCCCAGAATACCATGGAATAAGGTAGGGTGTGATTTATTTGAAATTAGAGGGCAAAAGTATTTATTAGTAATAGATTATTATTATTCAAAATATTTGGAAATAGAGAAATTAGGTATAAACACAACTAGTAACAAAATAATTGAGTTATTGAAAACTATGTTTGCTCGACATGGGATTCCATTAACATTGGTAACTGATGGGGGTCCACAATTTTCATCATATGAATTTAAAGTTTTTGCAAAGAATTGGGAATTTAATCATATCTTAACGTCACCTACAAATGCACAATCCAATGGAATGGCCGAAAGGAATGTACAAACTGCTAAAAAAATGTTTAAAAAGATCATTGAAGATAATAAAGATTTACAAATGGCATTGTTGACATACCGAAATCAAAAAATTGACAATGATTATTCACCAGCGGAAATATTAATGTCTAGAAAATTAAGATCAATCTTACCTATCACAAATCAAAATCTTTTACCGAAAGTAATTAAACAAAATCAGTATAATAAATTTTTAAATGAGAGGCAAGTTACTAGTCAGCATTACTATGACAAAAGAGCTAAGAAATTACCAGAATTAGACATAGGAATGCATGTAATGGTACAAATAAAACCAAACACTGTATGGACACCAGGCAGGGTAGTTAGTATACTTAGAAATAGGACATACAAAGTAAAAATGGAGAATGGCGCTATGTTGATAAGGAACAGAAAATTCATTAAAATTAATTACAAACGCAATTGTCCATCATTTACTATGAGAAAAGAGGGAAGTGAGCAGGATGTAGTTAGGAATGATATAAGACCAGAGCCTACTAAAGTATATATAGATATTGAGAACGAAAATAATAATGTAATAGAAAATAAGTCAGAGTTAGCTCCAGGGGATATAGTTACTAAAAGCGGAAGAATTGTTAAAGCGCCTGTGAAGCTAGATCTGTAACAAAGGGGATGTTGGAGTACCTTGTATAGGTTTAAGTTAGTTAGAGTTAAGTTGGCAACAATGTCGAGAACTAGTGGTTAGATGCACAATGGAAGTAGCGTTTTGTAGAAGCAAATAAACCGAGTCTTAAACGAAGTATTATTCTTTACCTAACAAATACCACGTAAAGAAACATACGGCAAAGTTTAAAACAGTTTGTTCAACAATGGAACTATCATGGTTTGTCCACAATGCACTCCAGATCGCCTTTCTATTTATGGAATGCTGCAATGCTAACCGGTGAACATTTCAATGCATTGGAAGACCCGAACTATATATTAAATGGGGAAGACTATGGAGTAGACAACATGGGGCCGCTCGTGTGTATAGAAACAGCAAATCATGTGGTAATACCATTGTGAAGTTGTTTTAAGAGAAGAACACATAGCGCAGATCACAGAGTTAGTACCAAATGCTTTAGATGACGATGGCAATAATGGAATCATACTCTATCAAGCTATAAGGGAGTATTTAAGACATAACTATCGAGACTTGTAAATTATAGTGTGGTAATATAATATACTACCTAGTCAGGATGTCCATTTTTGTCTTAGTTTTAGTATGAATGAACCTAATTTGTTTTATTTTACAAGAAATAGTTTAAATTATACCTGAACATTTTGTAAAAATTTAAATACATTAGATTTAACAGTTTTCTGTTTAATGGCCTGCTTTAGTACCTTCCAATACAGTTTCCACAAAAGAGCTTCTTGGTTTTGAGGTTTGATATTTTTATGAAATCAAAATCTTAGTTTAAAGTGTTAACACATGAATTGGACGGTAATATTTCAAGATTTTGTTACAATTTAGTAATTTTGAATATTGAAAAGTAAATTTAATTGTGTGATATATTTATTTACAGTTAATTAATGAATTTATAACAGAATGGATTAATTTATAACAGACACGTACCTATTTATTACTCACAAGTCACTTACGAGCACGGTATTTCACTTGAGCGTAACCATATAGAACCTTCCAAATATAGCCTCGTCGCGCTTATATAGCAAACGCCCGAGCCATCGCGAACCCACTAGAACGTTCACATGTCATTTTAGTAGAAAGATTACGTTACATGCTTCCCAATGACTCGCTTCTTTCATTGTCTGACCGGAATTCTTGAATATTTGCTACACTGCCCCCCTCTTAAAACTTTCGTCTCGCAACACGGACGATGGTTATAGTGAAGACACAGTTCCAGGCGACTTCTGTTATATAACGAGGTCTTGATGGCTGTACCTGCATGACGGCACCTTTTTGCTCCTTGAAGGAGAAACAATCAACCGTCCAGGAAACGGTTGCGAGGTTTCGGTGTGGGGTTGAAACAGCGGACAAATAAATCCATTCCAGTGCTTTGGAAAATCACCTCCAGCATGTTGGGTACGATGCGTCAGTTCATAAGACCGTATCCGATCTTCGGATTTGCCACCTTCTTAACGCCACGAGTTCTAGCTTTTGTTTTAAGTGTTGTACCGCATTCCAAAAATCTACATAATTCGACTTATTCCTGGACTGGTCTTTTGTTACCAAATAATAAGTAGTCCTTGCTCCTGTAAGAAATATGATTAACCAATCTCGGGGTCCTTGAAGGTAGATATTTCTTAAGCGCCTACATCGGAACTTGAGTTCTACGGCAACACCCTGGTCATCTTGACATCCTTGGCTATGCAGTGGCTAAAGCGTATTGCGCTGGACTTCAAACAAATATTTAGGTGCCTCACGGACAACACCAAAACATGCCCTTCGAGTTCCCAAGTAATGTGCCATAAATTGTGCGAAAGTGGATCCTTGTGGTTTCACTTGCATTACATTCTCTACTTCCTGTTCCTCGGGCTCGTTCTGTCCCGCGTATGATGCCAACCGATTTATGTGCACTACCACTGGTTTTTCTCGTGGTTGTTTCAGTATCTGATATATTAAGTCGTTTATTCGCTTTACGTCTGCATACGGTTCTTCCCAAGCTCATGTAATTTCGAGGATAGCCCGCGCCGTCTCTGCGACGATGCAATCAAACCAGATCTCTGGGTTGATAACCACAAGCGTGGGCCTTCACGCCGTACGGCATGCTTTCATACTATCGCTAGCCATCTCTGCATATTGTGACGAACCTTACCATGGTTTGCACCCAATTTCTGACGCAGGTTTTCCACAAACTCTGTCTCCACGGTTTCTTCTTGACCGGGTCTTGTACCAAATTTCAAATCACACGACAACCAGAGTTCCCTGCCAAACAACACGGGGCTGGGCTCTCCTATAGCTTCTTGTGCTGCAGAACGGTTCTCCATCAGGAACAAATGCAGATATTTATCCCAACCCCGCGGGTGATCGGACACAACCTTTGACAAGTAGGTACTTTCCCATTGTCCCTATTCATGCATTCTACTATTCCGTCTGACTGTAGGTTTAAAGCGGAGGTTTTGTTCTTGCGAATTACCAATAGTTGACGCAGGTTTTGGAATAACGGCAACTCAAAAATTCCGCCCTGGTCAGAGTGTAGTTCCAAGGGTACCCCAAATCTGCTAAAAAACCGGAACGCCTGCCGCAGTTGTCGCTTCTTGATTTGGTAGAGCATACGTTTCAGTCCATTTGCTGAAATAGTCCATGCATGGCTACCAAGATGTATTTGTTTCCAGAGGATGTCTCTGGGTAAGGGCCTGAGATATTAATAGCTAGGTATTCTTTCAAACAGACTACCCACGTTATATTGCCTCATCCGTGCTTTCTTCTTGCTTACTGGTCCGTTGCTTGTGGCACAGACTTCACATTTTCTGCGCATCTTGTTTGCGGTTTATCCAGTAGAATCGCGCTCGCACCTTAACGCTGGTTTGCGTCACTTCTAGATGATATACACCATCGTACATCTGTCTTAGTACTTCAGATTTCTTGCTCTCCGGTATCACTGGCTGCACAGTTGTGGTTGGCCATCATCATTTTCTACAACTCTCTTCAGAAAACCATCTTCTAACCGTACGATTCCCACATGATCTTCTGGATAAGGTATCTGCATTACGCGAATGGTTTCGCCCTGCGCCGTGTTCTGTCACAAAGTCGTAGGTACCTCGCTTGCAGTCTTTCCAACCATCTAGCCACTTGGTCTTCTGGACTTTTAAATTGCAATAACCATCGCAATGCAGCATGTCGGCCCTTACGAGAAATTTATGTCCGTACAGCAGATACTTAAGGTCTATGGAGATGTTCGATTGACTTAATGACGGTTAGTAGTCCCCTTGGGTGACACAGTAATTGCGTTCCGGTTTAGAAAAGATATTTTACTGAAATATCCGCGATGCCTCTCTCCTCCCATCCTGCATTTGGGACAGTACAGCACCTATTCCAACATTGCTAGCGTCAGTATCCAACACGAAGTCCGCTTCTCTTTAGGGGTTTGGCTTGATGTCAAGCCTATCTGGGCACTCCAAAGTGTCATCATTCCTGGCTGTATCCATGCAGCGCACTACTGCAGCTACTGGGGCACACGTCCCAATTTTTGTGCCCCTCTTCAACTTGGTTGGGAATGTATTCAAATTCATCAGTCGAACAGGCGTTAGTTGTTTATCATTAACTAGCAGTTTGCCAATCAAGATGCCTCGACCCATATTGGTATAATTGCGTTCCATCACACCCTAAGCAGTTTTCCCGGTGATTTTCATCCGTGCGAGCCATCACAACTTTCTGCAACACTCCGGCAGTGTGACATCCTCCACCAGCGTTACACGTAGCAGCTCGTCTCCTTCACTGTGAATATAGGAACTTCTTCATTCTCCACTCGAAGTACTCCATTCTCCATCCATCGTAAACCGGAATTTTCTCAAGTCCATTCCCAAAGTCACCTCATCGACGATGTGTGCTACCAAAACTTGATGCGTACCTTTCCTGAGTCTTCAGCCTCAGTTTTGACGGTTGTAGCGTTTTGTTCCAGTGTAGGCCAGGTCTTACAATGGTCTTCGTTGCACCTGTATGCAACAGCATCGTACACGTTTTCTCCAAGGACGCCCCTTCCCATCGAGCCGTACTAGTTTTCCTGGTTATTGGTCGCTGTTTTGTTGGGCCAGTTTCTTCTAATATGTCCGTTTTATCAGCCCCTGCTGATCACAGTCCATCATCGTCTTTGTCCGTTGCTGCTCCAACTGTTTTAAAACTGCATCGATCTGTTCACTATCTCTTCTGGATTCTCGTTCTTTTTTTCTGTACCAATGGTGTGCACGCGAGCATTAATTAGGTACCACGAGACGTTTCCTTCACAGGATCAAACTCCAGGACATGCGCCAAAGCCTTTGCCAAATTCTCATGTCGCGCAAGTTTCTCAGCTCGTTGCGTTTCCCCGTCGCTAACACCATCGATGAACGTCTGCACCGCCAGGTGTTCTATTAAGCTTTCGGGAGACGTGGGATACGCCGATCTTATCAACCGGGCTATATCGGCTTCGAGTTTTTGCAAAGTTTCTCTTGATTTGTGCGTTCGGTTCTTTAACAGGGCGTAATACACGTGCTGCAAATGTGTATCTCTATACAGTGACACAATTTGGTATTGGTGTTCTGGAATCGTACGCAAATCATGCGGCAAACGTATAAATTTCCCTACACTGAATGAAATCTGATTTCCGAAAAAATGTTAGCGGCCGACGCCTAAGCTCTCTCCCGTTACATACTGGCTTTCATTTCATCTTGAACGGCTTTCAATTCTTGCAATAATTGCAGCAGTTGCTCCATTCCTTCCAACGTAAATCTTGTCACTAGTCTCTATACTGGCATAAACTTTCACTAACAGTTCACTTAAATCGTTGAATGACATATTTATCACCCAACGCCCATACCTGACACCAGTATGTAACAGAGTAAATTTAATTACTTACGTGATTTATTTATTTACAGTTAATTAATTACAAATATAACACGCAAACGTTTCTAGATTTTACTTTTTATCTAGGTTGCTTAGTGATACAATTGAGTTGTTATATTTTTCTGGTTTGTCACATAATTTTGTAATTTGGATAAAAAACTGATTTCTTTGAGTAAATCCACGGAATCAAATAATGAAGTAAACCTCCTTCACCTGACGTTCCTTATATTGGCGCCCAACTTAGCAGCAAAAGAAATCAGTGTTTTGTTGTGCAATCGAAATTTTCTTCGCTTATACGAGAAAATAATCGCGACAGACGAAGAAGATCTGCCTCGTGTACTACCTTACAACCTCCGATCACGAAATCGTACGGCTGCTGTAACTGTGGTATATGGTGTAACAGTGCGCATGCGCCAGACGGAGACAGCTCGAGCAGAGCCACGACCAGGGGAGATCGAGTGACGCGCTCGCGGGGGTTACAAGGTAAGCAACCCACAACACAGTAACCACTAGGAGTTCCTCGACTATAGGGAGTAGTAAACAATCCAAAGACGCCTTCGTCGCCTTTACAACAGTAAACATGTCTGAACCACTGTCGGATATTACTCCAAGCACACCGGCACAAAACCCGGTGATTGGCCTCACCGTCGAACAATTAC